TCCAATAGCAAAGTTGTGAAAGTGCAAAAAACAAATTTTTCAGGAGAGAAGAAAATCACTTTGTCACTTAATTAAAAATCATCTTTGTACAGGTGCTATCCGCATTAAGTTAACATTCGCAAATATTGCAGCTTCACAACTTTACCATTAGAATGACGATATTCTTATATTCTATATTTATATCAATACCTTTCATCTGCATCTGTTTAATATTACTTGATATTTTATGAATCATGTATGGTATCACAAAAAATACACTAAGTACTAGAAATCCAGACCAGAAAGAAGAATTGTGAACATTTTCACCTCCAATTTTTGATAATGATTTGTCCCATAATTTATCATTAATTGAATTTTGATCTTGGAAACCTAAAAAATATTTAATAATAAAACAAATATTAAGTATGTAAATTTATACAAAATATAAGTAATATATAATTTTGCATATGTGTATTTTCAAAGTAAATATTATAAAAATTATAAAGTTATACAATAATAGACAATCTTACCAGTACTACGTATAATCTTTCTATATAACCATTTTATAAACCTAATCAATGCAAAAGTACTAAATAACTGGTTTATAGTGGAACGTAATTTTCCAAAATTTTCTGCAACACTTAAAATTGCTTTAAATGAATTTGTCAAAGCAAAATATGTAGATTCTAAGAGCATTGTCATGGATGAAAATGTGTGAAGAACAGTTTCAATTAACTGAAAAGTTGGTCTGGTGCTTTCTTCAACATATTGGTAAAATCTAGAAAAATGAAAATGAAAAACATGGTGTTTTTCCTAATTCATTAAAGAGCTGTAATTGAAATTCACTTAACATATAATGTTTAATAGTTAATTTAATAATTGTAATAAATTAGATTTCAGAAAATTATAGACTCACCTACTTTCGGAATCACCACTGTGTCCACTAAATGTCCCATAATTATTGTAATTAGAATATGGACCAAATGAGCTAAATCCACCATATCCACCATATCCATTTAACCCTCTATATTGATTACCATATCCAAACCCATATCCACCATAATAATTGCTTCCAAATGGTTGATTGTTAGTGAATTCAGAATAATTTTGGACTGCTCGACGTGGAGGTAATGGTGGAGGATTTCCTGACTGAACATTTGAAGAAGGAAATGGAGATGGTGCACTTGGTATACTGGAAAAGTTTGTTTATTTGAAACTAATTTAATTATCATATGCAACTATTTTATGTTGAATAAAAGAAAATTGCTTCAATTCCTTATTATTTGACAATTGCAAATTCTTTGAATTATAGAAACAAGATTAATTTAATAAAATAAGAATCAGATTGTTTTTCTTATGATTATTTATGATTTAACTTAAAGTAACTTTTGTCATTCTTTCTTTATGAAATATCACTTCAATGCTATTGACACATCACTCAGATTGTGTATATTACGATTATATACATTTTCTTTAATTGTTTGTCACCAATTTTGAAATTTGATATTTTAAATATTACTTTAAATCAATGTTTAAATAAAACCAATACCTGGTTAAAATGTTCGGTACATTTTTTAAATGATTTACATTAAGACCACTTGTCCTTTCAGGCGCCATACTTTACGATAATTTGCTTATCGTTTCCTCGATGATATTCAATGTACAAAGTTCATAACCTTTTTATAAGTATAAAAAGGTCTTAACTGTACTTAACGTAGAAGCACACATACAGTTTTTAACACCTGTACTGCTATTCATTACAAAACTTCGGACATATTTTCACATTGATCTCTTTCATATTGACATTCAGTTGTTAAGATAGTTACTAGAAATTGTAAAATTTGATGTATATTATTTCCTTAAGTTTTAAACATTTTTTAAATTTGATTTTTGTACTACTTAAGTTAAATTAAATTTAAATGCATATATGATCTTTATCTGTAATATTTAGGATTTACAAAATTTAGAAATATATTTTTAATATTAACAAATTCGAAAAATTTTCATTAATTTTTATATTATAAGATTATAATAGAAATATTAGTACAGAATATTTTCATAAAAATTTCATTAAAGTATGAGCTAAAATTAGTTTCGTTACTTGAAATATAAAAATCACATATGGCGTTGCGGTAACCAAGTTATACCTAACCTTGTTTAAAATCGGTGATCACGATCAAGTGCCGTATTAAAAATATGGACCCAATAAATTTGGAAACAAAGAATAATTTTTTAAAATTTATCGAAGATAATATGTTATATGAAATTTTAATAGTATCATGGCTTCAATTTCTCCATAAATTTTACTTAAACCATCGCCAGGTGGGATTTGCTTAACCTAAAGTTTCGT